TTTTCTTTATTGGTTGTATTTATTTATTGAATTTTGTTGATTGAAATCACTGGCTAACAAAATTATACAGGTTTCAGGTGCACAAATCTACAACACATCACGGGTACACAGTATTGTGTGTTCTCCACCCCAAGCAAGTCTCCGTCCATCACCATGTATCACTTCGGGTGACAAGGCTCTGTCAGTGCAGGTCCATCAGTTGTAATAAATGTGCTGCCCAGTGCGGGGTGTGGGGGATGTGGATAGTGGGGAGGCTGTGAGTGTGGAGGAGCAGGGGTCTAGGGGAACTCTGCCTTTTGCTCAATTTCGTTGTGAACCTGAAACTGCTCTGAAAAATAAAATCTAATTTTTAAAATATTTGTATTGATTGCATAGAGGAAGGGAGAGGGAGATAGAGATAGAAACATTACCGATGAGAGTAAATCATGGATTGGCTGCCTCTTGCGTGCCGCACACAGGGGATTGAGCTCAGTACCATGACCTCCAGGTTCATAGGTCCATGCTCAACCACTGAACCACACCAGCTGGGCAATAAAGTCCATATATATATATATATATATATATATATATATATATATGATTTTTTACAGAGAGGAAGGAAGAGGGATAGAGAATTAGAAACATCGATGAGAGAGAAACATCAATCAGCTGCCTCCTGCACACTACTGGGGATGTGCCCGCAACCAAGGTACATGCCCTTGACCGGAATTGAACCTGGGACCCTTCAGTCTGCAGGCCAACGCTCTATCCACTGAGCCAAACCGGTTACAGCAAAGTCTACTTTTAAAAAGGTAACTATAATCTGTCCAACTGTAAAATTTTATTATTCTAAAAGATTCCTTTAAGTTTTCTACATGTACTACTGCAATTTTTTAAATTTGTCCATTAATTAATTAAATCCTCACTCGAGGATATTTTTCCATTGATTTTGGGGGCTAGTGGAAGGGAGAGGGAAAGACAGCAACACCGATGGCAGAAAAATACATGGATTGGTTGCGCTCCCGCATGCTCCTGATCAGCCCCCATAACCAGGCCCAGGAGCCTTCAACCTAGGTATGTGTCCTCGACTAAATGGAACCCAGGACCCATCAGTCCACAGGCTGACACTCTATCCACTGAACTAAACCGTAAGGGCATTATTCTCAATGTATTTAAAGAAGAAACAATTCTTGCTCACTGATCCTTAAAATCAGTTTTAAACTTTGACTTGAGTCTTCCAACACAGTTAAACATTTTTAAAACAATATCCACGTGCATTCTTTAAAAGTAATAAAATTTCGTTATCATTTTAAAAGGCAGTTTCTATCTCTAACATTTACATAAATCACCACAAAAATATTTATACTCAAGTAGCATCTACATAATAGCAGCTTTTAAAAACACTCAACACTACAGCCCTGCTAGTAACATTAACGTGTCATCTGGTCTGACCAGCAGGTGGCACACGAATCCTGAGGCCTGGAAGGTTTTTTTCCTGATAATCCCCAGGAATGAATCCACTCTTTTGCAGGTTAACTCTACTCCTTCCCACCCCCAACCCCACCCCTGGGCTGGCTGCTACAGCTGTTTGGGTGAAGCAGGATCAGGGGGGCCTCATGCAGAACCTGAGTCCCACTGGGCGCCCTGTGCTGGGCTCTCTTCCCTGACCTCAGGAGTAGAGCATGAGACTGAGGGGGAAGAATGCTGGGGGCTTCTGCTAGAAGGAAAAAGAAGGACAAACCCATTTACTGAGCTCTTACTCTATGCCAGGCCTGGTGCCAAGCCCTCATCATGCACCACCTCCTTGGATCTTATAAGCATCCACTTAGCTGGGTGAGCACCATGATCCTCATTTTACAGGGGAACTGAGGTTCTTGCCTAAGGTCTCCCCACCCAACAGCACCAGCCCCTGAAAGCTCAGCTTGGAGTCTTCATTTGGGTGCCCTTTGATTAGGGTCACTGTGATGGGTTAATTTTATGTGTCAACTTGATTGTGTTGCCCATGTAGCTGGTAAAATAATTCTGGGTGTGAATGGACAGGGTTAGCTTTTGATTCAGTAGACAAGTAAGGAGATCTTACAGTGCTAGTGGGCTTCCTCCAATTTCTGAGGGTTCCAAGTGGAATAAAAAGAGGAAAGAAGGATGAATTTTCTCTTCTTTTTCTAAGGTGTCCGAATATATATTTACTAGAGACCTTGTGCACGAAAATTCATGCACAGGTGGGGGGGGGTGTCCCTCAGCCCAGCCTGCACTCTTTCCAATCTGGGACCCCTCAAGGGATGTCTTACTGCCCGTTTAGGCCCGATCCTACCAGTGATCGGGCCTAAATGGGCAGTAGGACATCCCTCTCACAATCCAGGACTGCTGGCTCCCAACCGCTCACCTGCCTGCCTGCCTGATTGCCCCTAACCGCTTCTGCCTGCCAGACTGATCATTTCTAACCACTCCCCTGCCAGCCTGATCGACGCTTAACTGCTGCCCTACCAAACCAAATGCCCCTAACTGCCCTCCCCTGCCAGCCTGGTCACCCCTAACTGCCCTCCCCTGCTGGCCTGCTCACCCCTAGCTGTCCTCCCCTACAGGCCTGGTCCCCCCCAACTGCCCTCCCCTACAGGCCTGGTCCCCCCAAATTGCCCTCCCCTGCTGACTCGGTCACCCCTAACTTACCTCCCTTGACAGCCTGGTCACCCCTAACTGCCCTCCCATGCAGGCCTGGTCACCCTTAACTGCCCTCCCCTTCTGGCCCTGGTCACTCCTAACTGTCCTCCCCTACAGGCTTGGTCCCCCCCCAACTGCCCTCCCCTACAGGCCTGGCCCCCCTAACTGCCCTCCCCTGCAGGCCTGATCGCCCTCAAATGCCCTCCCTTGCAGGCCTTGTCCCTCTCAACTGCCCTCCCCTGCTGGCCTGATTGCCCACAACTACCCTCCCCTGCTGGCCATCTTATGGTGGCCATCTTTGACCACATGGGGGCGGCCATCTTGTGTGTTAGAGTGATGGTCAATTTGCATATGACTTTATTAGATAGGAGATATATATATATATATATATATATATATAGAGAGAGAGAGAGAGAGAGAGAGAGAGAGAGAGAGGCCTAGTGCATGAAATTTATGCACAGGTATGGTCCCTAGGCCTGGCCAGTGATCAGGGCCAATTAGGTTCCCAGCCTACCAGCCTACCCACCTCCCCGCCTCCTCCATGCCTTGTTCCCTCAGCGCCTCACCATTGCCACTGGTCTCCTGCCATGTTCCTTGCCATCCCCTGGGGGTCAGCACATGTTATAGTGAGTAATCAAACTTCTGGTCTCCCGGTCCAACTTCTGAGGGGACACTTTGCATATTAGCCTTTTATAGACACTGAGTGACCAGATTATTATGACCAGCCAGATTATTATGACCATCCCATCAGTACAATGAAGTGAATTAGTTATGCAAATAATAATAATAATAAAACCTTGAGAGTATTTGCTTAGGAAGTTTTCAATATTCAGTATTTTTGGAAGTGTCAATGAAGTACTGATGGGGTGGTCATAATAATCTGGCCAGTCATAATAACCTGGCCATTCAGTGTATGTACTAGAGGCCTGGTGCACAAATTCATGCACTAGTGTGGTCCCTCAGCCTGGCCTGTGGGATCGGGCTGAAACTGGCTCTCCAACATTCCCTGAGGGGTCCTGGGTTGCCAGAAGGTGCAGGCCAGGCCGAGGGACCCCACGGGTGCACGATCAGGGCCAGGGAGAGACAAGGGAGGTTGGCCTGCCAGGGAGGAACCATGGGAGGGCTCCAGGGTGTCTTGGCCCGTCTCACTCAGTCCCAATGAGCTGGATCCCAGCAGCAAGCTAACCTACCAGTTGGAGCGTCTGCCCCCAGTGGTCAGTGCACATCATAGCAAGCTGTTGAGCGGCCTTAGCATATCATAAGGAGAGAGGCCATTCACAGGAAGACTCTCCATGTCCAATCCCCACACTCAGAGGAGGCAGATCAGGGACCTGTTGTCCTCAACCCAAGGTGGACGCCACATGGGTGATAAAAGGTGCCTCAGGAGACTCCGCCCTGGGCCAGGTCAGCACAAAGTCCCTGCGCCAGGACAGCACCCCATTCATGTGTGTAGGAAGGGGGCCTCTGTGATCCATCTCCAGCAGAATCAACTCTTAATGGAATCGGTTACTGAATTTCCCCAGGGCCAACAGAATGTAGGGAGGAGGGAAGAGGCTATAAGAGCAGAGAACTGTGGAGACGGCCAGCATCATGGTGGAAACCCCCGAGGTGCCCACCTCAGCTACACAGGGGGAGGGGAAGGGGGAGGCAACTAGAAAAGGCCTCAGCCAAATTTTTCTTAGTGGCCCAATGGGAGATAGTAAGACCTAGGCAACGTATGAGGCGCAGCCTAGGGGGATAAAGAGGCTGCGATCGCTACTCCAGGTGTGCGTGTGCAACCGACAGACACCCACTCTCAAGAACGCATTAAAAGTCTCGCCTTCGTCATACTTCTGTCTCTGAGTCTGTTATTTGAACTCGGACAGGTGAGCATTTCTCACAATTTGTCAGGGGCTCCACCCTCACTGCCAGTTGGGAGGTGGAAGGGGTGCTGGGCACCTTCCCTTCCCCTGAGCCCTGGGGGTCAGTGCACCTTTGCTCAGGCAGCTACGGGCACCCTGGTCCCTTGCCTGCTGCCCACCTCATAACGACGTTTCACTATTCCGTGGGCTTTTCCAGACGCAGCCCATAGTCAGATTCGTTTCTCCCATTGGACCAGACTCGCAGAAGGTATGTGTCAAGCTGTGGGAACTTGGAGGAACCACATGACCTCTCTGGGCCTCAGTCCCACCCCCCACCCACCCCGCCGTGAACTGAGGGAGCGGAACTTTAGGGCCCCTCTCCTAACGTTCTCTCTTCTGCACATACCTGACACCCCGCCGTGTCAAAGAGCTTTAATTGTGGGCTGGACAAGAAAGGAACCTGTGGGTGTGGAGGACATGGGGAACCCCACACCACAGACCAGGACTCTGAGGGCCCCTTGATGGGCTGCCTTTAAAACTTGGGGTGTATCTGCAGCTGCCTGCTCTCTGGCAGGTCCAATCGCACAGTAGGTCTCCAGTTGGTTCTGCCTGCGCTGTGGGTGGGGTGACAGTTCTCAGAAGCGTGGGACAGGCTGCAGGCGCTGGGGAGGGACTGGGATGGCGTGCTCCCGCTGGGACAGAGAGCACAGCTGTGGTCTTGGGTAGGACAAAGTGTAGGTGCTCTTGTGCAGGCCAGCCTCGGGGGTGAGCCATCTCTGCTTCAGCTGCTCATAGAGTCCGTAGTTTGTAGGGGGAGCTGCAAGAGAAACAGGGTTTGGGTGGGCAGGGCTCAGAGCATGTGGCCTGCCCCATAGGCCGGGGGGAGGGAGGGGGGGGGCGGAGGCTTCCCAGGCTGTGGGATCAGAGATTCGGGGGTGGGGGATGGGGAGCAGCAGGCTTGCAGGGGAATGTTGGCTCTGCCAGTACCCCCTCCCCAGGAGTCACAGGTGGGGGCCCGTTCCCTGTGTACCCAGGAGGGACCCGAACTGCTGGAGGCCTCACAGAGTCCGCCCTGTGCCCGGGCTGAGGGTGGTCCTGCCTGCTCTTCCGTAACTACCCCACCCCAGGGGGGAAGGGAACAGCGTGGCCTTGTGAGATGAAGAAACCCCTGCCAAAGTGACAGAGCAGCCCCAGCCGGTCTGGCTCAGTGGATGGAGTCCTCAGGTTCGATTCTGATCAAGGGCACTCCTCCCCGGCCTGGGCCCTGGTCAGGGCGTGTGCAGGAGGCAACCAATCAATGTGTTTCTCTCACATCGATATTTCTCTGTCTTTCCCTCTCTCTTCCACTCTCTCAAAAAAAAAAAAAAAAATCAATGGAGAAATATCCTCAGGGTCCCTTTGCATCGAAGGATAGGACTGCAAAGGGGTGGATGCCAAGGGTCGGGGTAGCTTGAAGGGCAAATCAGAGCAAGGCAGTCTCCTACACGAATCCCTCCAGAGCCCTGGGACTGTGGGGAGGACAAAATCTGCACCTACTGTGGCCTGTGGGTCCCTGTGGGGTCGTTCTCTACTCCTGTCTTGCATCTTTTTCACCCTGGAATGCTCTTCCCCTTAATCCCCACATGGCTCCCTCCTTCTCAACTCAGTTATCTCCTCAGGAAAGCCCATCCCTCACCATCCCACCCAGAGGAGGTCCACGGAGACCCGCCTCACTCTCTATTTTTACCCATTTTCTTTTCTTCAGAGCACCTATCCCGGCCCAAAATTATCGCATTTACTATCCTTTTCTCTAAAGGTGTCTTAGCTGTCTCCTGACTGGAATGTCAAGTCCCCGAGGGCAGGAGTCCCTCCCTGTTTGTCATTGCTGTGTCTCCAGATGCCACCACATTCCGGCACCTGGACTTGGTACTATTAATGACGTGTGCCCGGCCGACTTGGCTCAGTGGTTGAGCGTTGACCTATGAACCAGGAGGTCATGGTTCGATTCCCGGTCAGGGCACATGCACGGGTTTGTGGCTGAATCCCCCAGTGGGGGGCATGCAGAAGGAGTCGATCGATGATTCTCTCTCATCGATGTTTCTATCTCTCTCTCTCCCTTCCTCTCTGAAATCAATAAAAATATCTTAAAAAGAAAAAAAAAGAAAAAGAAGAAGGGGAGAAAGCAGGTGGCAGGCCTGGGGGCAAATAGGACTCTCTCCCCGCCCCCGCCCCCCATCATCTCCTTCTAATGCTCTACTAGAGTCAGGGTCCCCCATGAGGTCCTTCTGCGTGAGCAGGGCACACTCAGTCCTGAGCAGGTGCAGACCCCTTACAGCTCAACATAGGAGAAGATCCCGAATTATACAAATACCGAGAAGAGGGAAGTCGTTTTTCTCTGGAAGCCACAGCAGTTTATGACTATTCCAGGTGCGGTGCGAGGGCAGGCCCGGGTTATAATTGTGCCGGTTGTAATGGTCGTCGTACGAGCTGATCAGGTAGCGGTGCGAGGGCTCCTGGTGGTGGGTGATCAGGTGTTTGTACGGGAGCCCCTGGAAGGACAGACACGACGGGCATGTGACCGAGGGAGCAAGGCCTCACCTGGCCGTGGACGGAGGCAGAGTCGCCGGCCTTGGAGGTCCGTGGAGCTGCCGGCCAGGGGGCCTCCACGGGCGCCGGCAAGCGTGGGCTCTCGGGGCCACCGAACAGGAAACACACTTGTCTGTCCTGACCCGATACAGCTCACCTTCGAGCACCGGTCTCAGCTCGGCTGCCGTGGGTTCCCGTAGGAGTGGTCCCCAGCCTCTGCCAAGTCCGTGAGCTCTGGGGACACGTTCCTGTGAAAGTCAGGACGCCCCCCGACTGGGAAGAGCCAGCGCCACCTCGCTGCCTGCCCCTGGGATCTGAATTCAGACCCTGTTTGTCTCATCCACCGACTGCCTGTTTCCAAAGAAGATGCGGACCGCGGGCCTGACGCATGCACCTTGCATTTCATCGGTTACTATGGGGACAGTCAGAGACGCCCCAGACCTGCTTTCTCCTGCCCAGGGTTTATGGCGACCTCGGCTGGACACCTGGGGAGGGGTTTCTCTGCTGGGGAGTGATTGGCGGGGAGAAGAAAGCCGTGTTCTCCTTGCCCTGGGACGTTTGCCTGAATCAGTGCTTTTCTTAAGGAAATCCTCTTGGCCTGGACGGGGGTGCTGGGGGGCTGGGCTGATTTACAGGGGAGGATAATGTTGATTACCATGCCCGTCCTCTTGTCTGGAGCAGACAGGGAGGCCTGTGTCGGCCCTGGTCTGGAAATGCTGGCTGCACCCAATATTTCAAGTGGTGGTTCCATAAATAAGTCAGATCACAATGCCAGAGGGAGGCAGGGGGGTGGGCACAGGCGGGGAGCAGGGGTTCCCAAGGTCTCCCTCATAGGGCGCCCAGAGTGTTACCAACGCCAGGGAAGGCCAGTTAAAGAGGTTCCCATCGGCCGAGGGGAGGAAAGGAGAGAGCCCCCACTGCGTCCCTCCCCTCTCCTCCCCCCTCCCCGACCCAGAATTTTCGTGCTGTTCCTCTTGGTTTGGGGCTCGGCCCTGCTGTCTTGATTATGTTCCCAGGACTTATGTCTTCATCAGGTAGTGTAGGTAAGGTGACAGAGAGACAACTGCCTTTGAAAGAAGAGCTTACAGGCCCCAAAAGGAGGGGGCACCATGACACAGGGCCACCCAGCAAAGCAGCAAGATCTGTCAGAGGCAGAAGAGTGAGTATGGACAGAGAGTGAGCCAGGCAGGGTAGGCAAGTTTCAGAAGTTTAGGATTGCATAGGTTTTTTGTTTGTTTAGGATTGCAGAGTTTGAATCATTTCAGATGGTTCTGGGCTCCAGGAGTGCCTCTGGTTGGGGGCACCTGTCCTTGGAGTAATTTAAGGTGGGGGATACTGTCTTGGAGAGCGAGTTTAGATAAAGGAGGGGGTGTGGGCTCTGGAGTGTTGGTTTGCATCTGAAAGGCATGATGAGAGCCAGCTGTTCACTGTCTCTAGGAATTAGCCAGCCCTGGGAGGGCAGCTCTCTGGGATTAGCAAGGCCCTATGGTAGCAAATCATCCTCAAATAGAAAAAATGAAAAATGGGATTCATACCCCTGCCTGGGAGGGAAGCACAAGAAGGGGGTCCTCGCTGGTAACCTCGTAACCTCATCTGCCCATCGGCAACTTGCAGTGCCATGAGCATTTGCCTAAGACGGGAGAAGAGGTGGGAAGGGAGATGGAAAGGGTCCTGGGGGAGGAGGTGGTGCCGAACGAAGCAGAAAGAAGAGCTGATGTGTGGAAGCAGCCACGCGAACAGGCCATTTCAGAGTCTGTGGGAACGCGCGTTCGATCACCGGGGCTCTATTTAGTGTGTGTGCTGGGGGAGGGGGACTTGTCTTAATTTTAACGACTGCATATCTGTGTGGCTAGCTAGCCCTTCGTCAGGGTTTGTAATGGGTCCAAGGTCTTTAAGAAAGGGCACGGCGTGGGCCTCGTGTACACTGGTGACTGGGGACTGGGAGCCCCCGGTGGTGGGTTCTGATTTTTGCCTCCTTGTATTGAGATGCAGTTGTGTGTCCTCAGTGCACACTAACGGTAAAGGGGGCAGCCCGGAGCAGCAGCATGGTCTGAGGGTGTCAGCATGGCCCAGGGGTTGCCAGCCCGATCCAGGGGTTGCCAGCCCGGTCTAGGGGTGCCAGCCTGGTCCAGGGGTGCCAGCCCAGTTCAGGGGTTGCCAGCCCGGTCCAGGGGTACCAGCCCGATCCAGGGTGCCAGCCCGGTCCAGGGGTTGTCAGCACAGAGCGGAGACTGTGGTGCCGTTCATGCGGACACGGATCCCCAAAGGCAGAAGACAACTCCAGCCAGTGATGAAGGGCACTCTCAGGTTACTCCTGCTTCTCTCAGAGCAGCCACCTACATGGTCCCTTGCCAACAGACAAGACACTCGCCACCCCTGGCACCTTTTATGGGAAAAGGAGGGTGCTGAGCTCAACAATCTCTTCCAGCTTCAAAATGCACCCCATCTGACAGCTGTCCACCCCTCGTTCTGTGCCTTCTGCCCTGCCCCGCATTCAGGCAGGTGTAGGGTCAGGGAGGGGTGATGGGAAGGGGGTGACCTGAGGGCACAGTTCTCTGCTCCCCACTCCGCAGGCCTGGAACACGACATACCACAGACACCCAGTGACTGAGGGGGTGCTGAATGGTCATTGACTTTTTTGGTCATTGACTTTTTACACAAAAGAACAGGAAGCTGGAGCTGAGGTGACACAAAACACTGTCATCTACACATCACCTCCACTTGGTTTTGGAGTACCTTATGTGATTCCTCCCTAGAGTCACCTCACCATAGTCACCTGAACTCAATATAACCATGCCTGCCTGTTTGCTCCATCCTTTGCCCGTGTCCTGTTGGAGAAGCGGGGAGGAATGGGGAAATGGTCCGGGGAAGTGCTGGGATCCAAGGTGGGGATGCTACCAGCTCCAGGTCGGACGGATCTCTGCTCCTCAGAACATAAAGGTGAGTGCCGTCGGCAGCCGCGCGGCTGGGGAGGGTCCTGATGAGCCTACTCCTGTGTTCCCAAGAGGGAACCGGGCTGGCGGGGTCTTCTGAGCCTTGGGGAGAGGCCCAGCCTGAACATGGAGCCCCCACCCCCCTCTTACCTCGATTCTCCTCTTCCCATACCACCTGGAGATCTGGTCCGGTCTGTGGCCGGGGAAAGGGATGTACCCTTTCTTGTAGGAGCTCTGGGGGGTCTTGTCAGTGTCTCTGATGAACTGGAAAAGATCAAATATTCAAGATAACTTCTGCTGCAACCCCTCACCTCCTGGGCCAAGGGACGCTGGGCAGAGAAAGGGTACATTAGGACTCCAGGGCATCCTGCATAACCCAGGCTTTTGTCCCCATCCTTCCAGGATTGGGAAAGGAGTGTGCACCCCACCTCTCAGGACCCCCATGGGAAGCTGGTATTGGTGTCACCCGACACTTCTCATGGTCAGTATCTGTTCCCTCTCTCATCTCCTCTCTCCCTGATGCTCTCTCTGCTTGCCTCCTCCCTTTCTTTTTCTTCTTTGTTCTCAGTCTTTCCAACTCACTCTTTTCTCCCTTGTTATATTATGTTCTTTAAAAAAATTTTTTTATTGATTTCAGAGAGGAAGGAAGAGAGAGAGAGGGACAGAAGCATCAACGATGAGAGGGACTTATCGATGGGCTGCCTCCTGCACGCCCCACACTGGGGACCGAGCCCACAACCTGGGCATGTGCCCTGACCTGGAATCGAACCGTGACCTCCTGGTTCATGGGTCGACGCTCAACCACTGAGCCACGCTGGCTGGGCTATTATTTTTTTCTAGTTTATATTTTTAAAAATTCATTGTGGTAAAATATACATAATGAAATTTACCATTTTAACCATTTTTAAGTGTACACTTCAGTGGCATTAAGTACATTCACATTATTGTGCAACTACCGTCACCACCATCCATTTCCAGAACTTTTTCATCATCTCAAACTGAAACTCTGTCCCCATCCAACAACTCCCTCCCCCTCTCCCCCTCGTCCCTGGCACCCACCATTCTTCTACTTTCCATCTCTATGGATTTGATTACTCAAGGTACCTCATGTAAGTGCAGTCATACAGTATTTGACCTCTGTGACTGGCTTCTTTCACTTAGCATAGTGGCTCACAGTCCTAATTGCCAAAAATGAAGATACTCAACTTTAAATAGGCCAATTCAGGCCAAGTACCATCTATTGTAATGGCCTTTAAAGTACATGGAAACACCATGAGCCCATTTGTTCCATTTTGAAAGTAAAAATTGAAATGCAGCCTTAGCCGGTTTGGCTCTGTGGATAGAGCGTGAGCTTAAGGACCAAACGGTTCTGGGTTCAATTCCGATCGTGGGCACATGCCCGGGTTGCGGGATCTGTCTCCAGTTGGGGGAGTGTAGCAGGCAGCCGATCAATGATTCTTTCTCATCGTTGGTGTTTCTATCTCTCTCTCCCTCTCACTTCCTCTCTGAAATCAATAAAAATATATTTAGTGCCTATGGTTTCTTCTAGGTCTTAAAAAGAACTGAAATGCACAGGCAGGGCAAGGTTGTGGAACAGGTGCCAGAGAACAGCAGCTCATCCCAGACATCACCGCAGGGATGTCCCGCCTGCCTCGGCAGGTACCACGTTCTGGTAAGGGCCAGGCCAGGGAGAGCAGAGATTCTTCAAATCAAGGTGCAGAGGAATTAGGAACGGGAAACATCAGATGCCTAGAAACACTCCACTGAGAAGACTTCTGTGAAGCACAACAATGTTGACACATCTGCTATGGTACTTTCAAGATGGGGGAGGGTAGGGGACCTTGATGATGGCTTGACTGTGACTCCCCGATGGAGCACACACAGACACGCTCAGGCCCTATTCTTAAGAGGCAACCATCTATGGCCCTTAATTTGAATATAGTAATGACTGCACTCCTACCTCTCCCTGCCAGACCTCCCCTCTGAGCCCTCTGTTCGCCCTCTCTCTTTCCTTACCTTCCTCCTCTCTTCCACCCAGTTTCCGGTGAGCACTCTGGTTGAATACTTGCTCTCGACCTTCCAGCTTGGCGTATATAATGACTGTGGGCTTACTGCATTCGAAAACTGCATGGTAAGGGTTCACCCCAGGTTTCTTTGACTTGACACCGTCTTAGGTTTTGGGAGCGGGGATATTATGAAGTTGCTGAGTTTGGGGTGCCTTTTTTTTTCCTTCTCTGACACCCTTCTGAGTGAGCTGTAGATGACAGCCTGCCAACCTCACAGAATAAAAGGGCATTGAGAGTCTACTTTCAGCTTCCAGGAAGAGGTCACTTGATCTTGGATTCCGTATTGTTGACTGTCACCATGGTGATAGACTGAGTATAAATACTCTCCTGGCCCAGCCAGTGTGGCTCAGGGCTTGAGCATCGACCCATAAACCACAAGGTCGCTGGTTCGATTCCAGGTCAGGGCACAAGCCCGGGTGGTGGGCTTGATCCCCAGTAGGGGACGTGCAAGAGGCAGCCAATCCTTGATTATCTCTCATCATTGATGTTTCTATCTCTCTTTCCCTCTCTCTTCCTCTCTGATATCAATAAAAATCTATTTTTTTAAATAAAAAGGACAAATAAGATCTTAGTATGGATGGTAGGCACACAATACAATATACAGATGATGTAGCATAGAATTGTACACTTGAGATATATATAATCTTATTAACAAACTAGAGGCCTGGTGCACAAATTCGTGCACGGATGGGGTCCCCTCGCCTGGCTGGCGATTGGGGTCGATTGGGGCCGGCCAGGTGGGGGGCAGGAGATGGGGAGGACCGAGGGAGGTTGGCTGTGGGAGTGCACTGACCACCAAGGGGCAGCTCCTGCATTGAGCATCTGCCCTCTGGTGGTCAATGTGCATCATAGTGACTGGTCGACCAGTCGTTCAGTAAACTGGTTGTAGCGGTCACTTAGGCTTTTATATATATAGATGTCACCCCAATAAATTTAATTTTTTAAAAAATGGAAAAATGTCTATTCCATTATATCATCATTGGAAATACAATACTACATAAACATTAATATTTATTTATAATCCCTTAAATTAAATTGGTACGTCCCTTGAGTAATAAAAAATAAACAAACAAATTAAGAATATCTTAGTATTATTAAGAAAGCGGTTTTGCCCTAACCGGTTTGGCTCAGTGGATAGAGCATCAGCCTTCGGATTCAAGGGTCCCAGGTTCGATTCCGGTCAAGGGCATGTACCTTGGTTGCGGGCACATCCCCAGTAGGGAGTGTGCAGGAGGCAGCTGATCGATGTTTCTCTCTCATCGATGTATCTAACTCTCTATCCCTCTCCCTTCCTCTCTGTAAAAAATCAATAAAATATTTTTTTTTAAAAAGAAAGCGGTTTTGACCTTGCAGTTTCCCTGAAGGAGGTTTGGGGATCTCCAGGAAATTTTCCATCACTATATTTCAAATATTGCTTCTTCCTCCTTCCTTCTTCCTCCTTTCTTTCTTTCTTTCTGGGACAGCAGTTACACCTTTGCTGTGGCTTCTCACTGAATCCTCGTGACTCCTGCCCACTTCTTCTGCATTTCCCATTCTTTTGTCTCTCTGCTTGATTCTGAATCATCCCTTCCGACCTATATTCCAGTTACCTATCCTCTCTCAAGTGTGTCTAAGGTGACTAAACCCATCCTTGAATGTTTCATTTGATCTGTTGCATTTTTCAATTCTAAAATGTCTGTGATTTGTATATATGACATATACACACATATATCATGTTACTTTTCATAGTTTCAAATTTTTATTTTTTTTAGCCTTCTGAATTTTCAGATTACCTATCACATTTTGCCTTCCAGATTTTCAAATGTATGGAATTATAAATCTGCAGGTTAATAGATTATATTTACAAATATAACCTATAGATTTTATCTCCTTGGACATAGTGAACACAGCTATTTTACAATCTGTGGTTCCTTTTTTTTTTCCCCCTTTCTTTCTTTTTTTTTTTTTTTTAACTGTTGTTTCTGTGAGTTTTGGCTGCTAACACTTCTCACATGCCCGGTATCTGAAAAATTATTTGCAAAAATAATGGGAGGTCTAGGATGATATTATCTTTCTCCAGAGATGACTGCCATTTGTTTTTTCGTCACCCATGGACATTAGAAACAGGATCACTTTAAGCCAGTCTAGGGGCAGGCATGTCGGTCATGGCATGCTCACAACTCCGTGTGCTCAGTGCTGGGCTCGAGGAGCTACAGGGTGCCCTGAAGACTCGCAGCGCGACTGCACCCTCTGGGGGAGGGAGGCTCTCCAGAGCAGGTAGTGCCTACAATGAGACCTGAGAGGTGAATGAAGCATTGACTTCTTCTCTCTGGTCTCCTGTGGCCTGGAAACACTTGTTGGAGATGGCCAACCAGCTTGGGGTTGTTGCACAAGGAACCCAATGGTGGTGGGCGGTGCACTTGGAACTCAGACACACTTGGCTTCAACTTCCAGTTGCACCTCTCACCCAGGCCCTTGGCCAAGTCAACTGTGGTTTCCTAATCTATAAATTGGGAGTAAGCACCTCGTACGTACTTCGTCAGATTATGAGAATTCAGTGACCGATCAAGCATTTGCAAAATGCCTGTCACATCTATGGGGTCAATAAATGTTCCATCCTCTCTTCCCCACGTGCCTGAACCAAGTTTATTTTAGTAACAAAATCCATTCCGTCCTCTATATTAGAGGAGTATATTTGGGACATTGGGGCAGCAATATCCCAAAAGGGGGTAATTCTAGATTCTTTTTGAATAGAGGGTTCCTGGACACAAAAGCAATTTGTTATCCTCACCAGGTACTCAAGGCTCAAGATTTAATAAAACACCCCCCATGCACTTGATAAGATTATCCCCATTTCGAGGAAAGAAAACTGAGGGTCTGGAGATGAAGTAAACTTTGGGCCTCTAATTGGCTCTAGACCACAAGTCCTTCATCCCTCTGCCTCCTGGGGGGAGCCTTGCGACACAGCAGCAAACCCAGAATGTGTCTTCTCAACTTAAAATTCATCTGTCCTTCCGTGAAATTGTTTCATAGTGATGGAGATGGACCCTTGAAGGGTTTTGCCTATGACTAAATATTGCTTTGAAACTGAACCCCAGGCACTTCCTTATCATATTCAACCTTGTCCTACAATTGGCAAGACACCCAGTGGCAATGTTAGGATAGTGATGCGCCAGGGAACAGAGCAGGCCCTGGCCACCTTGGGGAAGGAGGAGCCACTTTTGGTAGATGGAGGCGAGGATGTTAGAGGCAACAACCCAGTAAGACTGCAGCCTGATCTGACTCCTTCACTGATTCTTGCAGAGTTTCATTTGAGCTAAGGAACTTCCCTTCTAAAATACAGACATGCCACGCCAACTCGGTCCCACCCTGTCATCTGTCAAGATAATCCATTTTCTTTCTGCTTTGGGATTGGTGATTATGATCCAACTACTTCCCTCCCATCTGAGATCTGCTGAATAAAAGGGAATGGGATAGACATTTTGGGAGAGTCCATCAACTTTCAAAATGTGCCCATAAACTAAAAAAAAAAAATAAATAAATAAATAAATAAATAAATAAATAAATAAATTATATATATAGTGCCCAGCCACCAATCCTTCTTGGATCTATCACAGAGAATCACACGTGCAGAGGGAGTGCACAAATGTTCACTACAGACTTGTTTGTCTGTAAAAAACTGGAAAGAGTCCAAAATGTGTCCTCCAGATGGGAATGTCTAGGAACTGTAATGTGGCCAGACCATGGAATATTATGCAGCAGCTAAAAAGAAAGAGGCAGGTAGATATCTACTGTTTACTAGGCTAGATTTCTAAGATATATTGAGGGGGGAAACCCCAGTGGCACTACTCGTATAGAATTATTATTATTTTATGTACCAATGTATGGCAGTCATCCCACAAAATAATACTCTATATATTTTCTTTGGGTACATATATACCTAAGCATGTACAAGCATCGGAACAGGCTTTGAAGTATTAGAAGATCCTAGTATCCCCTCCCCCCAAAAGGAACAGATAAACAGTAATGAGTTGCAGGAGAGTCATCAGAAAGGACTTTGCCTTATTTCTAGTATTTGAAGGCTTTATTTAAAACCTAGAGGCCCTGTGCACAAAATTTGTGCACCGGCAGGGGCGGGGTCCCTCAGCCTGGCCTGCACTGTCTCACAATCCAGAACCACTGGCTCCTAACCGCTCACCTGCCCGCCTGCCTGATGCCCCTAACTGCTCCCCTGCTGGCCTGAAGGCCCTAACTGCTCTCCCTTGCCAGCCTGATCCCCCTAACTGCCTATCTGCTCTCCCCTCCTGGCCTGATCCCCCTAACTGCCTATCTGCTCTCCTTTCCTCTCCACGCCCTTCAGACCTCCAGCGCAGACCTGCTGAGAGCTATCCACTGCAGCCCCGCCCCCATCCTGATTGGTCATTACATGATGGCATCCTGGCCAATTTACATATTCCTCTATTATTAGTATAGATATTTATGTATCCCTTAGGTAACTTAAAATTAACTTTTAAAAAGATAGAATGGAAGTGGAAATATGATGCAAAGTGTGGCAGCTGTCATGTTGTCCAAAAATATCTACTGCCCTCTGTCCTGTCAATGTCAGGCTTGGCCATGTGACTTGCTCTGGCCAATGAAAGGTGAGCAAGAACCATGAGCCTTACTTCTGAGCAGAAGCTTTGGGATCCACCAGGTTCTTTTTCCCTCTGCCATGAGACCAGAGATGTTTCAAATAGAGGCTGTTCCATCAACCTGGATCTCAGAACAGACAGACACACGTGATATAGAGCTGCCGCTGACCGGTGAGGGCTGAGTAATGAGTTAACATGAACAAGAAATAGTCTTTGGCTGTCATAAGCCACTAAAAATGGCAGGGCCATTTGTCACTGCAGCAGATCCTAACCTCTACTAGCCTATACTAGCTCAGGAACAAGAAGAGAGACCAAGCAGTCATTCTGAAACAGAGAGTGCAGGGGGGAGGGGGTGGAGAGTAAGACAAGGTTTGGGATCAGAAAGGCAGAGAGGTTCTGGGGGGTGGGGGTGAGGAGCACCTGAGGAGGACACTGGGGGAAGAGACTAATTTTGCCAATTTTTCAACTTTGCCCTCAGACCTTGTCTGAAATTGCCTGCTCCTGACCAAAGACAGCAATTTGGGCTGCAACTCATTGTCCTTTAGCAGATGGCATGTGCCCTGGGCTACCTGGCAGATCTTTCCAGGGAAGTCCTGGGAATTTACTGAGAAAACATTCCCAGGGTGTCTGGGTTTAAAGGTGTGTGGGTGTCCATCTCCCCTGAGCTGTGTTAGCTGGGCACTTACAGGTAGCAATTCCAAAGTCCTTCACACTTAGAGAAAGCTACAGTCAGTTAACAAAAGAAACCAGATGGCAAGACACTGGACTCTGTTGACCTGACTCAGCAGCAAACACCTACTTGGATGGGAAACTACTCAAGTAAGGCTATGGTCATCATTCTGAATGATGGGAAAGAAAAGGGCTAATGGGCCATGGGGCACAGCAGATATGGGTTATTGTTAGACAGATTAGGGTTGCAATGCACAGCACCTGGCCAATCACATGGCCTTGGACAAACTAGTTAATCAGCTGGCCTTGAGCCTGACCGGAAAGAAACAGGAAAAAAGTGTTGTTATTAATGTCTCTGGGCCTCAATTTCCTCATCTGTAAAATGGGCTTCAGAATACCCACTTTGTGGAATTCATTCAGATTATGACCTGCAGAATGAGGTGGCACCAGCCCCCTCTCCCCCATACAGGGTTGCAGGTAGCTCCCTCAGCATCCAAGTTTCCACTTTGAGGAAGTACAAATCCCAGGGTCATTTTGACTGAAGGTGCAGTTTCAATACTCACGCAAAAGAGGTGCCCTAACCGGTTTGGCTCAGTGGATAGAGCGTCGGCCTGCGGACTGAAAGGTCCCAGGTTTGATTCCAGTCAACATGTACCTTGGTTGCGGGTACATCCCCAGTAGGAGGTGTGTAGGAGGCAGGTGATCGATGTTTCTCTCTCATCGATGTTTCTAACTCTCTATCCCTCTCCCTTCCTCTCTGTAAAAAATCAGTCAAATATTTTAAAAAATTTTAAAAAAGGAGGTGAAGTCACAAGACTTATTATTTGCAGATCCCCGAAACAGGGGGTAGGAGTGCAATGAGCCAGAGGAGGGGCAGTCCTCCACCCCAGGTCATAAGCGAGCAGGAGACAAGAGCAGGGCTGCAAGCACTTATCAGGTGGTTGGGGTGGAGGTCCATCTAATAGTGCTTCCAGTCCCTAAAGTATAGCCCACTCACCTCCACTGGGCACAATCCTCCCGTGGCTCATCCCCCTCCTCGGCACCCTGCAGCGGAAGAGCCAACCACCCAACCCTCCAGAAGGTCAGCTCATGTCTCTCCACCTGCCTCCAGAGGCAACAGTGAAATAACAAAGACCACACTCCAGGAGGGAAGCCAATCAGACTCAACTCAGAGGTCTTCTCAAAAGGGACCAGGCTTCTCAGATTCCAATGCTCCCCAACAGCTGAATGGCCACCAAACAATGTTCTTTCAATGAGGGGTTTCTAGTTCTCCATAAAAGCCACCTGCGGGTCTGCCTGCTGTGAATAGATCGAGAAGCCACCCAATGGCTTCTTCTCTGTCCCATGTTTTGGCACCAACATTCAACTGAAAGCCAGTTAAAGGAATGCATGGGGGTTTTGTAAACTTGGGTCTTGGTCTGTAAAAACCACTGGCCAACCAGGAATAGAGTCTCCTGAAGACCAGGTAGGGTCAGCATGGGAGCCTGGGTCATCCTTTTTTATTAATTTTTTTATATATATTTTATTGATTTTTTACAGAGAGGAAGGGAGAGGGATAGAGAGTTAGAAACATCGATGAGAGAGAAACATTGATCAGCCGCCTCCTGCACACTCCCCACTGGGGATGTGCCCGCAACCAAGGTACATGCCCTTGACCTGAATCGAACCTGGGACCCTTGAGTCCGCAGGCCTATGCTCTATCCACTGAGCCAAACCAGCCAGGGCTATTAATTTTTTAAAATATATTTTTTATTGATTTCAGAGAGGAAAGGAGAAGGGGAGAGAAATAGAAACAACAATGATGAGACAGAATCACTGATGGGCTGCCTCCTGCATGCCCCTGTGTGCGGATCGAGCCTGCAACCTAGGCATGTGCCCTGACCAGGAATCGAACCATGACCACTTGGTTCATAGATCCACGCTCAACTACTGAGCCATGGCAGCCAGGCCATTTTTTAAGAAATATTTTTTTATTGATTTCAGAGAGGAAGGGAGAGGGAGAGATAGAAACATCAATGATGCGAGGAAAAGCATTGATCAGCTGCCTCCTGCACGACCCCCGCCCCCACCCCACTGGGGATCAAGCCCACAACCCAGGCATGTGCCCTGACAGGGAATCGAACCATGACCTCCTGGTTCATAGGCTGATGCTCAACCACTGGGTCACAATGGCCGGTTATGAGTCATCCATTTAAAGGAATTTCTATTCCTAAGGGGCAGGTGGTCAACTTGCCCGTGGTCCTTGTCCTCTCTTGCCACTTCCATGTACCTTGATTCAGGATTCAATTTAGCTTCTGCAGTAGGGTGAGTGTTGACATCCACCCAGTAGAGTAAGTGTTGATGTGAGGGAAGTAGTCCCTCCATCCCCTGTGCTCAGTTCAAGCACCAGGTGGAGTTGACTCCACCCTCCTCTCCAAGGATGGCATGGGACTTGTGTCTGGTGAGTCAGAACATTCCATTCCCTTGGTTGTGGCAACTGGACACACCATGCCGAAAGCCCATACAGCCATCTGATTATAATGTGATCTCTGCTGGGACTGCTGAGAATGAGGCAAATCCTATATAATGACCCTGGGAGAATGTAAGTATGGAGCTGCTCGGGGCCACCATGAGAAGTGAAGGTAAAATAAACAGAGAAAATCATTGACTAGAGGAAAGAAGAAAAGGTCGCTGGTGGCATTGTTTGAGTTCCTGCATCAAACCAATCCTAATTTATCCCTGGGGCCAATACATTGTCTCTGATTTAGGTCAGTTTGAGTTGGTTCTGTGTCTTACAACAGAAATAGTCCTTGCTACACATTTTCAGTACCTTTGGCCCTTCCTCAATTTCTCACTGTAGGTAAGATTGAGTTTGGTCAGACTCGGTCTTCATGGGTCTCTGACTCAGGACCCAGACCTTTTCAACTGCTCTCTTCTCGTTTTTGTTTTGTTTTCTTTTTGTTTGTTTTTAAAAATATATATTTTTATTGATTTCAGAGAGGAAGGGAGAGATAGAAACATCGATGATGAGAAGGAGTCATTAATCAGCTGCCTCCTGCACACCCCCCACTAGGGATTGAGCCAGGCAACCTGGGCATGTGCCCTTGACTGGAATCGAACCCAGGACCCTTCAGTCCACAGGCGGATGCTCTATCCACTGAGCCAAACCAGCCAGGGCCCAAATGCTCTCTTCTGACACTTTGACACCAAGAGCTCCAGAGCTCCCCTAATCAGTGGCTCTGAGCTGTCTTCATCTGTCGCTAGCTGCCAACCACCATGGAAAACCTACCCACTCCGCCCTAACTCTTCCAGCCCAGGCGATTGAGACTCTGAACCCAGAGACAGGGGAACAGCAAGAAACATGTCACCCTGTACCCAGAGGAGGAGAGTGGAACCAGTTTCTCTTCCTCCACCTGCAAGTCTAGGACATCAGAGCCCCACCCTCTCAGCCAGATTGGAAAAAGCCCACGAGATCGGACATGATGCCCTGGGTGTTTCCATAGCCAGCCAAGTGGTCACTCCTGTTACCCACAGTCTGGGTCAGCCTGGGCAGTCTGAACCCCGCCTCAGGGAGGCTGTGGGCAACCCTTACATCAGTGGTTCTCAACCTTCTGGCCCTTTCAATACAGTTCCTCATGTTGTGACCCAACCATAAAATTATTTTCGTTGCTACTTCAGAACTGTAATGTTGCTACTGTTATGAATCGTCATGTAAATATCTGATCTGCAGGATGGTCTTAGGCGACCCCCGTGAAAGGGTCGTTCAACCGCCAAAGGGTTCGCAACCCACAGGTTGAGAACCGCTGCCTTACATGCTCATTCACTCTCGCAAAAGGCCACTGCTGACCATTTTTCCCAACGGTGCACACAGACAAAGACCCCTACCCACCCCCTCAAACCTGTCACATCTACTGCTCTCCCTTCAGACATCAGAAACATGCATCTCTGATTCTAGAACCTGGAGCAAGAAGAAGATGGTCCCCTAGCCAGTTTGACTCAGTTAGAGCGTCAGCCCACGGACGGAAGGGTCTCAGGTTCGATTCTAGTCAAGGGCACGTACCTTGGTTGCAGGCTTGATCCCCAGCCTGGTCAGGGCATGTGTGGGAGGTAACCAATTGATGTGTCTCTCTCACATTGATGTTTCTGTTTCTCCCCCTCCCTTCCACTCTCTCTAAAAATCAATGGGGGTGGGGGTGGGGAGGGAAATATATCCTTGGGTGAAGATTAACAAAAAAATAAAATAAGACAAAAATATACTTTGTGTGATTAAAAATATATATATTTGTCTTTAAATATTTTTATTGATTTCAGAGAGAAGGAGGGAGAGGGAGAGTGAGATAGAAACATCAGTGATGAGGGAGAATCATTGATCAGCTTGCCTCCTGCACGCCCCACACTGGGGATTTAGCCCACAACCTGGGCATATGCCTTGACCGGGAATCAAACCATGACTTTCTGGTTCATAGATCAAAGCTCAACTGGCCGGGCTGTGTTTTTGTTTGTTTGTTTGTTTGTTTTTTTAAAGAAGAAGATAGCAGTCTCAATATTCTCCCCTATCCCCACTCAGCATCACCTCCATCAGCAACAGAGAGGTCCATAAGGAACTGGATGATGGCGGGACCTACACTCATAGCTCCCGGGGGAGGGAAAGATGCTCACAGCCCCTTGATAAACTGGACCATGACCCTCAGGATCCTCGTGGCGCAGGGCACTTGAAGGCAGCCCATGCCGAGGGTGTTCAGCGCCCCGTGGAAGCCATCCTCCATGTGGTGCCAAGTCACCGGGACGCCCAGGTCCTCCAGCCTCTTCTTGTACAGCAGGGAATTGTCCCGGAGGATGTCATACTCACAGCTCACGATGCAGGCTTCCGGGAACCGAGACACTACTTCGTCTTCCGCAAGCATGGGCGAGTTCAGCAAATCCAGGAGGAGGTCTGACTCCAGGTAGGCAGCCTCATTCAGGGGCGCACGGGCCACCGGGCGGTAGCCTCGCTTCTTAAACCTCTCCGGGATGTTTTCGGGGTCCAACCACTTCCTGTACCTTTCCCAGACGTGGGCAGGCATATGGGCGCCTTTCAGGATAGCGTTTTTCCACTGGGGGCTCACGTCCAGGTAATAAGACATACAGAGGAAGGCAAAATCCAGAGTGATCAGTGGGACATTCTTGTTCTGCTGGAAGGAAGGCAGCTGGTAATCCAGGACTTGGAGAGTGGGGTAGATCAGAAGCTGGGCCCGGATCTTGGGCAGATCTGAACGATCCATAAATTTTTGACAAGCTGCCGCGGCCACTCCCCCTCCCGCGCTGTCCCCGCAGACCACAACCCGTGCTGGATCCACCCCATACATGTCAAGGGACTTCAGGAAGTGGGTGGCGGCCGCGAAGCAGTCTCTTATTGGCACCGGGAACCGGTGCTGGGGTGCCAGGCGGTATCTAGAAGGGAATCAAGGAACATGGTTTACACTCATCACCCCAGTAGAGCCCCAAACACCTGTGCCTAGCATCCTGGGCTTCAAGTTCTTCCATTAACTCCCCCTTCTGAGATCTGAGCAGTTAAAGTTAAGGTCTGGGGCTTAAATGAGCTCAGAGACAGGAAGTCCTCAGTGCCCAGCACATGGGCTCTGTAAGCGGCAGCTGCTAGTCCCACTGTCTCCAGGTCAAGTTAGGGGACACGTTGTGACCTCAGGAGCCCTGCCATCCACCAATTGGCCCACAACTTAGCTATCACCACCAGGAGCCCCCTCCCTCAGAACCTACCTGCTGGGGCTGCCCCGGCTCACACCTGTTCCCTGTTTTTTGGATTCCTCTTACGAGCAGCTGGCCTGGCTTAGATGTAATAAGGCTGCATGCTCACAGGTCTTTGTGGCCTCGCTCTGAGACTGATCAGTGTCTCACTGCTGCACATAGATCACTGGGATC